AAGACAAGTGAAATTGAAAAATTAGGTTGCATTCAACAGATATTTTTCTATAATAGTTTACATTTTTTTTTATTCACAATTATATTTACTGTCCAGTTAAGAACATTTAAAAAATTTGTAGAATATACAATTGTCAGCCGTAATAAGGACATTGTATACTATAGTGACATTTTGGCCAATATTGACCGATATGGACCGATATTGACCAATATTGGCCAATATCAACCAAAATTGACCAATATTGACCGATATTGACCAATATTGACCGATATTGGCCAATGTCGACCGATATTGACCGATATTGACCGATATTGACCGATATTGGCCAATATTGGGCGATATTGACCAATATTGACCTATATTGGGAATTTTAGGGAAAAATATTTTTATATCCGAACAAATAAATGAATTTTAAATGATCACTAAATAACAATTTATATATTATGTTAATTTGCCATGGTTTTTCGCCTTGACAAAGTTACAAAAAATAAACAGAGCTTCAATATTTCACCAAAAAAGCTTATTCAATTTGATAAATTTTATTTTAAACATACATTACATGAATAAAATTATCAATATGAGTCCCAAGAATAATAAGTATAATTGGAAAATGAATTACTCTATTTCATAGAAAATGACCCATAAATTTATAAATCCAGATCAGAATCAATCCTTAAAATGAATTGTCTCGACATTTTCTCTAGTTAAAAATTTTGAAATTCTGAAAAAATGGCCGCCCGCCAAATTGTGGCGCCCCAGGCCCGGCCCTATCGGGACTATGGGTTAATCCAGCACTGAGTATCACTTTTTTACCCAATGTACTAAAAAGCAACCTACTCCAGTTTTCTATACGCCCTGCGCAAGTTAAAGTTTTGCTTATATTCTACTTTAGAATTTTATCAGTATTCAGAAATTAAGTATCTTAGTATCAGAAATATAAGTTACTTTAAAAGTCTATGTATTTAGAGCTTCAACCAAGGTTCTCTCTACCGGATAATTTTTTTCTGATCAAGGTACAATTTATTGCTTACATTTGGCTCAATATTTATCCATATTTAAAATATTTCGGAATCAGAAAGGATTCGATAAAATCACTATTAGATAATCACTGCCATAAATCTATTATTATTTGACCTGAACGGTGTTTTCCTAAAGAAGATAAAAGTGTTTCCTTAAAGGATAGCAACCAATAAAAGTATTATCTATACATGTATACATTTCTTATTATGATTCATTCATATTATAATGTAGCTTTTGAAATTTCTATGAAGAAATGACTACATTCCGTATGAAGAATAGAAATGGAAATGTATAGCCGCGAATTTTCTACAAGAGCTTTTTGTATGCATACAAATCTACTCCCACGCCCATTTAGGTATATATATATTTATATATATATATATATATATATATATTATTCAGTAAATTTATGGTATCGTATTCATATCTTGCATCGGATGCATTTGTGAATACGTAACCGTACATACATGCAGATTGATACAGAATGAAACTCATAGTCAGCCACAATAGCTGATAGTGCCTCTATAAACTAAGATGTGGAAACATGTATGTAAGTTAGTTTAGTTGTTGTACATGTTTCTATGGAGCTGAAGAACATATTTTATAAGACTTTGAATAGATATCTATACTTCTAGGCTATCGGAATAGAATAAAACGATGCATAGAGTAAGATATATAAAATATTCGTTCAATGTATCGGAACAAGGTTGTACAATCATTTCATTTTGTATATAGAGTTTGCACCAGTGTTATAATAATGCTCTTAGTATTGCAACGTTTGTAAAATTTAATTGGGTTTGTTAGCGATGAAATCATTCATCGACAACATTAGTTTTATTAATTATAATAATACTTAAATTTTAAATGTTAAATATTAAGTTAAAATTATATTATATATTAATTAAATATAAGAAAAACTTTGTAACTTGTGCAGAACGTGGCAGTGATTATGATCATTTATACTTGTTTATCTATGATTATGTTGAAGAACTAGATTAGGTTGCACAAAGTCTTTATTTTCCAATTGCTAATAAAGGTGACCATACGTCCCGGTTTGGCCGGGGCACTCCCGGACTTCCACCTTGTGTCCCGGGTTTTTCTAAAAGCATTATTTATCTCGGATTGTCTCGGATAAATACTTACTAGTTACTTGGTAAGAAAATTACAACTACCTATCAAATATCTGACAATGATATATATCACATTATAACGAGCATGCTTATTTGAAACCATACGTTATAAATAAGTAAATTCCCAAATAATATTTAAATAGCAAGTTAAATAAGCTCGTCACATTTAATTTCAATTTCACGAAAATGAGCAAAAATTATGAATACGAACTTTTCAACTACCAGGCTCAAGTGATAATTTTTCAAGTTAATTCTGAAGAAAATTGAACAGAATTTTATACAAGGCATAAGGTGGAAAAACATAATTCTTATTTTTTTACTAATTAAAAAAAAACTGATTTTTATTGTATCCTAAAATTGTAGTTGATAATTAAAATCATATTTAAGTTTTTCAGCATAAATAATCCCCCCCCCGTCTCTGAATAGTATAATTAAAAAATTGACGTCGCAATTGCACACAAAATTGATATGTTAAAAAATTATGTAAGTAAATATTAATGTAAAACAAGTTTAGTAATATATTTAAGGCTAAAAATATTTATTTCAATACTATGAAATAATAAGATTTTAACATTTCACGGCATACCTTTATGAATTAATATATGATAATATGAGGTTAGAATTATATTCTACTTTAAGTAAGCACTCATTATATGTTTCTACTTTGAGTGAAATGTATATAATCCTACGCAATTAACTTTGTCTTAAACAATTATTTTATTGCAGATACAAAAAACAGCTTAATTGAAAGGGTAAAAGATTCAGGAGATTTAATTTTTCATCAAACAATTACGAATAAAATTCAGCATGACAACGGGTAATTAAATGTTTTACATTAATAATTAATGAATCAAAATACACACAATAAAGTTGCCATCAGAGTAAACCTTCTGAAGGCAAACATCCGCGGAAGAGGATCTTCGTAAATATTTGATGGCTAATTTTATAAACGCCAGATTATGGGCACGCTTTTAATTCAATTTGCTAATATTCTTGGGCGTAGTTGACACGCCGTGTCCCAAAAATAAGTATCCGCATCGAAATAATTATTACGCACGAACGAGAAAAAAACGACGATACTGGTGAATTTATGGAGGCTATTAATCACATGGTATTATGTACGCAATTACGTAAAACATTCGGAGAAATGATAAGTTACCTAGGATAAAAATGAAGCTGTTCATGCTGTCGGTAATTTTTATGGCTTACCTGAAGGTCATGTTAAAACGACGTTAATTGAAAGAAGTCGCTAATATAAATTTCAGAAATATAAAATAAATACCTACGACATGCGAAGCAGGAGAAACATATATTATCTGAAACTATACCATTACCCAAATACAGCCATAAAAGTAATTAATAAATTGCTTCATATTTCAATCAGGTATATTCAAAAAACCTATTGAAATTATTTGATTATTCTTTTTACTAGCTTAGATTAATATCTACAGGAGCATCTTCGCATTGGAGGTATCTCATCATTGGAGATATCTACAGATTATTGTCTTTACTAGCAAATATTAATATTTGCAGGAGCATCTCCTCATTGAAGATATCTACAGATTGCTGTCTTTATTAGCAAAGATTAATATCTACAGGGATATCTCTTTATTCGAGGTATCCACAGATTATTGTCTTTACTAGCGAAGATTAATATCTACAGGAGCATCTCCTCATTGGAGATATCTACAGATTATTGTCTTCACTAGCGCAGATTAATATCTACAGGAGAATCTCTTCATTTGAGATATCTACAGATTATTATCATTACTAGCAAAGATTAGTATCTAGAGGAGCATCTCCTTATTGGAGATATCTAAAGGTTATTGTCTTTACTAGCGCAGCTTAATATCTATAGGAGCATCTCTTCATTCGAGATATCTAGAGATAGTTGTCTTTGCTAGCAAAGATTAATATCTACGAGAGCATCATCTCATTGGAGATATCTCCAGATTGTTGTCTTTACTACCGCAGATTATTATCTATTGGAGCATCTATACATTTGAAATATCTACAGATTATTGCCTTTACCAGCAAAGATTAATAATATCTACAAGGACATCTCTTCATTTGAGATATTTACAGATTGTTGTCTTTACTATCAAAGATTAATACCAACAGGAGCATCTCCTCATTGAAGATTCTACAGATTATTGTCTTTACTAGCAAAGATTAATATCTACAGGGGCTCAAATTAGAAAAGACCTCTAAATGACATAACTACTGACCACAGACCCAGAAAGATAATAAAAAATAGAAAGTACGGGTGGATCTTCAATTGAAGAAAACCTCGAAAGACATAACTATTGATCACAGACTTAGTCAGACAGAAAAAAATAGAAAGGTTGTATAAAACCCCAATATTAGAAGACCTCTGAATAAGATATCTACTGATTAGAGACTAAGCCAGGCAGATAAAATAACTAGAAATTACGGGTGAATCTCCAATTGGAGAAGACCACTAAATCAGACAGATAAAAAAATAGTAGGTACTTGTAATTGGTTTTATTATAAGGTGGATTATTATCCGCAAATCCAAAATATAAAAACATTTTTTTCAACAACGTTTAATATAATTAATGGTTTATTATAAGGTAGACGTTTCTTATAAATATATCTTTTGACAAAAAAGTCTAGTTTCGAGTCGTAGAAAATTGTCACGTCAAACTTCTAATGAGAGTCAGTTGTTAACATTTATCCCCTTTGTTGATAAAATTAGACTACTGTAGATGACAGAAAACATACAAAAGCAACACAGGATTCTATTACTGTTTAGTTTTATTTTGACGAACGTAGTTTTAATTAGTTCATGTTTCAAAACAAATACACGATCCTGTAAAGTGCACGTGCTTACCTGGAATTCATCCAACAATATATGATGGGATTGTACATGGAATTGCTCATGGCCAGCCAGTAGATGCCAAGGTACACCTCTCGGATGTAAGGTTCGTTAGTGATCTCCGGGTACTGTGATGTTAGCAAGAAATATATGTGGAATGGAAGCCAACATACAGCAAATATTATCACGACAACCATCATCATTTTTACGACCTGAAAAAGAATATATAATGTAAGTAAATTAATTTCTTTGTAATTATGAAAAATTATTTTAAGGAAGTACTTAGCCGATATTGTTCCTTGTTCATTTTTCTAAAATCTACAGATATATATATATATATGTATATATATATATGTATATGTGTGTATATGTTTATGTATATATATGTATATATGCGTAGGTTTATATGAGTGTACTTAAATATTTTTGCCTATACTTTTTAATTATTTATTTAATTCTAGTCTCTACTACCTTTCCTATCTTTTATATTTGGTTTGTTGTTAAGTGTTGCTGTTTGTTAATTTTTCTCTTATTGTATAGTTACTTTACCAATCCACATATATTATAATTACCTAGATATGCTAATTTTCATACTGTTTTTAGTGTTACTGTTATTGTATAGTTACTTTACCAATCCACATATATTATAATTACCTAGATATGCTAATTTTCATACTGTTTTTAGATCCACTGATGATGACATTAAATTGAATGTCGAAACGTTTGGAAATAAAGATTATTTTATAAATCTTTGGCTTTTCTTTGTTTGATGTATCGCCCTCAAGAACTCACTCATATATTTCAACATCAAAATTAACTACTAAATCATATATATATATACATATATATATATATATATATATATATATGTATATATATATATATGTATATATATATATATATATTAGGGTGGTCCTTAAATTGGTCAGTTTCGAATTTCCTTGCTCCCTGGGGCTCGAATGGTTCCAAATAGATAAAAAACAATTCTCTGAAAGTTTTAGCTCTTAATATTAACGTTTAGAGATAGAGCGCAATTCAATCCAAGCTTTGTATGGAAATAGCATGAAAAAATTTTCAAAAATTAAAACTATTTTAAAAAAAATAGTTAAAAAATACCCCTCCCTCCCCCACGTGATATTTCGTGATTTTTTGTCAAACCTTCCTCACCCTAAAAACCTCACGTGATTAATGGACGCCCCCTTAGATTAATATCTACAGAAGCAACTTTGCATTGGAGGTATCTCAGCATTGCAAATATCTACAAATTATTGTATTTACTAGTGCAGATTATTATCTACAGGTACATCTTTTTATTTGAGATATTTCAGAATGAAGTTAGGAATTTTTTTAACAATAATATTCAAAAGTAAAGTGCATATATAAACAGCTATCACCTTGATTTTCTTGACGACACTATAAAGAGATCAACGATAATTTTTGAGAATCTATAACAAAAGTATTTTCATTCGTTGTTTAATTTGTTGTGTGTATTTAATTGTTTAATTGCATTTAATTGTTTTATAAGATGTAGTATTAATTTTAACTTAGATTCATAGTTTTCAGTTAATTCATGGTTTTTATAAATAACCTCTATAATAGCTCACATATAGGTGGGGTGAAAAAAAACAACTGAACCTTCATATTAGAATAGGTGCAAAAAAGTAAATTAAGTTAAAAAAGTAAATTTACAAGACATAAATTGTATAAATAGTTATTCCAAATCTGCTGATGAATATTTCTAACAAAATACCAAATCCAGGTTATATACATTGTTTGTAAAAAATTTTACATGAATTGAATAATGTAACTATTATTCTGCAAAATCCTTTGAGAATTAATAATAAGGTAGGTAATAATAATATTAGTAAAAAAGCACAGGCCTATAATTAGGAATAGACTGAAAATTTTACTGAACATAATTCGATAGTTGTTTTTTTGATACGTATTATGTATTGTTACTTAAAATGCACCTACTTAAAATCAAATGGGACCTTTGTGTCTTGTATTACTGTATATATAATATATACATATAATATTATATTACATTGTTATTAATTAGGGTTATGCTAATTTTGACTTACTATTTTACATATATGCAGTATTTTTTGAACAGATGTTAAAATTCAAAATAATTTTCGAGACAAAAATTTAAGTAAATAATAATAACAATAATAATAACATATATTTAAGTAAATAAAAGATACTTGTTCTAATTAAATTTCATTATATCTGGCACTTTATATTAATTAATTCTGCAGGATTTAAACAAAATTAATAATAATAATTCTACACTTTTATGTAGAAAGTTCAAATTTGATGATGATACAAGCCGCTATGATGTCAAAATTTATTAAAATTAACTTGGTGCAACATTTGCTACTATTCCTACTAATTACAATTATGGCAACACAATTCATATATAATACATTTCTATACTATGACATAAAAGTCATGCTCATATAATTCCCGACAAATTCTTTGAACTACCGTAATTAAGTAAACTATAGAACTCATTATCACAATAATACAATACAACTTCATTCGCTGTAATGCAATCGAAATTGAAATGCATTCCTACATCAAATACAAACATAAATCATATTACAGAATAATTGTATTCCTGTGCATATGCACTCAATTTTCTGTTCAAAAATTGATTGTTTTGTTCGACATTTAGTTCATGTCGCAAATATTTATTTTACAATATTGAATGAATGAATTGAATGCAATCGAATGTTTATTTGCAATAAAATGTTATTTTTGACAAAAGTATCAATAACACTATTTTATTAAAAGTTCAACTTTAAAAATGGCGTGTGTTTAAACATTTTCAGAAATTAGTTATCGGTAATACGATTGAGTATACTGATATCAGCATTATAAATAAAATAAAAAACTTGGATAAATTTCTCGATTATTGGAGCAAAAACAAACAACTCTTAAATATAAATTATTAAGCAAGATTTATTCCTAATGGTGTTTTTTAAGAGAATAAAAATAAAATAGAACCCGAACTGTTCTACAATTACTTTCCACATTCAAAATAAAAAGCTTTACAATGAACAAAATATCAAGATTTAGTTTAGTTCAACTGTGTTGACCTCAATGAGCTTCTGGTAAATATAATTACTCAAAAGGATTATTATAGAGGTCAAATTGTATGCAATAATTTACAAACAACAACGAATAACATTTTAATTAATTTATTTATTTATATTTATATTTATACAGCACAATTGTACAATTATAGATAATTAATGTACAGTTTTCTGAAACAACACTGCATTTAAATTAAAATGTACTTAAATTTTACATCTAAAAACAAGTAGTTTCTAACTATTAGTTTTGGAATTATTAACTTCCCGTAGGGTAAGTTACAGTAATCGCAAAAATCGCAAATCAAAAATTTATATATCTTTACATTCCAGAGGTTTTTGAACATTTTGGCATACCTTAAAAAAATAATACAAATTTTCGGGAAGTTAGCAAAATTCTCAGCAAGTTACTCTATATGGCATACAAAAACAAGTTTTTTCTTCAATTCATCAATGGTCAAATTGATCACGAATAATTTAGACTCACAATTTTCTACATATTTCACAATGATATATATGTTTTATTACCGCATAAAGAAGGATGAGATTGTAATCTGGAACAAAATGAGGTTTATATAAATATGTATCCTTATATCCCATTTCCTTAGGAATATCGCTGATAAGGCATTATTATTGTATTGGCGTAGGTTAATATTATCCATCCGGTTCTCCGAATAATGAAATATGGTATAAGGCAAAAAAGTCTTTTTTCTTCACCATCTGATATATAATTCCATTACTTTTATTATCGCCGTGAAAACACCTTGTTATAAATCATGTGTGTGCGTCCTACGCAAAGCGCAACTTGCAAACCTATAACTGGCTCACGTACGACTCTGAAAGCGTGAGCTGATTTCACGACTGTTATTCGAGGAGGGTGAAAATTTAAGCAACCTCGAGATAATGAGTTGTTGTTCATATTTCAAATTTATAAAAATATTTCAGGCTAGTGGTGTGCCTTGAAGCCAATTGCTCAAACTTGAAGTAAAACTTCTTTAGGCGCGACTAGGGTGTAAATCCATACAAATGCAACAGAAGTGCGTTACGGCCGAGTCGAGTGCCAATGATTCGTCATTCACTCTCGATGATATCGTTTCTATATGGTTCGATTGTGATTGGTCGTCGTATCATGTGCGAGGCTTCTTTGCATGCGTGGCTTTTTACGTGCGCATATAACCGAAAGCGTGAAGCATATTGTTCATTTTTCGGTGTTTCATGTCATTACATTCTAAGGTTGAATATTAGTACAAATCTTGAGTTAATAAAAAATGTCTGAATCGAAATAAAATTTGATCCCGTCCGCCATAAATAATTATGGTGCAAATAATAAAACAAATAAAAAATCTGTGCCGTGTAAGAAACGTAAGTTTATTGAAGTATTTTGTATTATTCGAGGTTTTCAAGGTTACTATATACCTTTGAGGTTATTACTAGAATGGAATAACATAAAAAAAATATTTTCCAAAATGTAACAAATTTATAAATTAATTTACACAAAATAGTTTGAAAAAAGTTGCTTAAATCATAAAACATGTATAGAAAATGTTTTATGACTCAGTTTACAATTATCTATTAGAATTGCAACTATACTATGAAAAATCTTCCATGTCAACAATTTCTATGTAAACTTGCAAATCATTTCTTGTTGCCATCTTAGATAGAAAGCTAAATAAACTGTTCTGATAATTGCATCAGAAAAGAGAAAAAATCTTTTCTCATCATTATACTTAGATTTAATTGTTCCCAGTGTAATTAATTGCTTCTTAGAAATAAATTACTTGTGATTTTATTGACGATCATTATTGGAAATTGAACTATAATATTCTTTAATATAAAGCAGTTTTTAGCAGTAGTTGAATAAAGAATTCAGATTTTATTAGATTATTGTTATTTGAAGGCTTTGTAGAAAATTAAAAAAAATATATAAATAAATTCTTGTCTTGATTGATGGATATAAAAAGGATTATCCTACATATTTACAGTTACATCAAAACTGCAGTTAATTGAAAAACGTGATGATTTCTTTTAACGTCAATTTTCTAAAAAACGGTCCATTTTCTCTGTAAACGAAATCGTAATCTGCCGGTGTTTTTGACGGACGTTTGAAATTCTAATTC